CTTACTTCTTTATTTTCTCATCAGATTGCTGCTTATCGTTCTCCAGATCCATGATGGTTTCTTGGGCCAGTTTAAGGTCACCTTCAAGCTTTCTTTTAGCCCGCTCAAGGTCCATGCGAAGCTTCTTTTCTTGCTCCAGGGAACCTTCAAGCTACCAAAGACAGAGATATTTCATGGATTTAGAAAGTGTATTAGTGGACTGTTGGTTTTCAGATGAGTTTTAAAAATACTCACATCGTCCACTTGCTGCTCCAGCTTGGTCTTGGCCTTCGTCAGACTGTTAACTTTGTCTTCCTCTGCCTGCAGGTCATCGAGGGTCTGCTGATGGGCCTCTTGGAGGGCTTTCTTTTCTTTGCTCAGCTTGGCAATGGACTCATCTTGAGCAGCCAGTTCTTCTGTGAGGTTTTTGACCTACAGAAGTTGACATGAATATAAACTTACAAATGATTTTCTCAACACTTAAGCAAAACAATACATTGTTAAAAGAGGGAGTATAACCTTGTTCTCAGTGGCATGTTTCTCCTTTTCCACTTTGGCCAGGGTCAGCTCCAAGTCATCAATATCCTTCTTCAGCTCAGAGCACTCGTCCTCCAGCTTCCTCTTCTTTGCAGTCAGCTCAGCGTTCATTTCCTCCTCATCCTCCAGTCTCTCGGCTGTCTCTTTGAGTTTGGCCTCGAGCTGAATTTTTGCTTTAATGAGCCCCTCACACCTTTCCTCTGCATCAGCAAGGTTTTCACCTTCCTAAAAGGCAACACAAGTTTTTTAATCAAATTAATTATTTGATAATCTGTAGACACAGTGCATGCAAGGTAGCGACTGAACTCACAGACTGCACTTGTAACAGTAAGTCATTCTTCTCCTGCAGCAGAGAAACCATCTTTTCCTCCAGTTCTTTCTTCTTAGCCAGAGCCTTTGCCAGATCCTCTTTGGTCTTTTCAAAGGTCTCTTTCATTGCGGCCATCTCTTTCTCTGTCTCTGCACTCTTCAGCAGAGGCTTAATCTTGAAGTACAGCTTCATCCACGGCCAGGTTTTGACATTCATGAATGAACGGATGTTGTACTGGATGGAGAAAATAGCATCTCTGATAAAAGAAAGAAAGGACGAGTTATAAAATGTTTGTTTTACAAATTAAATTGCAGGTTTCACAAACGTCTGTCACAGCGTCAGCGACAGACAGCTTACCTCCTCTCCATCATCTTGACAAACTCGCGCCTCATGAGGAAACCTCTGCAGAGAGCCTGAGTCATTGTGACCAGCTCAGCCAGCTTCTCGTCTCTCATCTCCTCCAGAGTTCCCAGCAGACCGGCTTTGAAGAACACCTGAAAGTTAGTAATACAAATTATTTTTAATTTGTTAACTATTCTCCATATTTCAGCATAAACAGAATTTTCCAGAGAGATTTTTCTTTCTCTACCTTGGTGTGACCAAACTTGTACTGAGAGTGGTCCACATTGATGGATCCCAGAAGTTTCTCTGAGGCCTTCTTGTTGTCAATGAACTGTCCCTCAGGAATGACGCTAGCATTCAATACCTTGTATCTAAAGTAAAGAGTTCAATCACCTAGTCAGATGCAGTGGCTTTAAGATAATAATAAAAGTAATAATAATAAAAAAACCATTTCATTGTCAGTGAAGATGCTAGCAGTGTTACCTCTGCTTGAAGTCACCGTAGAGGATTCTGCTGGGGAAACCTTTCCTGCAGATCCTGATCCCCTCCAGCACACCGTTACACCTCAGCTGGTGGATGACCAGGAAGTTCTCCATGAGACCTGTAATATGTCGTTAAACAAACACATTTTGACAAGAGTGACAGAATGAAAATGTGAAACAGTGAAAGCACATCACAGGTTTGATTTCTTTCAGCCATGTACCTGGCGTCTTTGACTCATTGGGAATCAAGCAGCGCACAAAGTGAGGATGAGTGCTCCTCAGGTTGGTCATCAGCTTGCCCAGATTCTCCTGAAGCATTAAAACAGCATCGAGTTAACAAAATAAATGACAAGTATCTCTAGTAAGTGATTATTCCACATCTTACCCTGAACAATGCAGACACCGTCTGGAAGGAGCCACCCTTCTTTTTGCCAGCTTTCTTGCCACCACCGCCCTCAGCTGTCAGTGGGACAGTTACAGTGAAATGATTAAAGCAAGAAATGACAATGCATTTTTAATATCTAATAAACTGTGGGGAAATTACAATTGATACCTTCTGAAGCGGCATGAGATGCATACAGGAAAGCCAACAGCTTTGTTGAAGACTTCTGGTAGAGCTGTACCACAGAGTCGTTCAGGGGGTCTTTGTTCTTCTCCAGCCAGCCGACGACATTGTAGTCAACAGTACCAGCATAGTGCACCAGGGAGAAGTGGGCCTCAGCTTTGCCTTTGGCAGGCTTTGGTTTCTGGAAGGGGGCACTTTTGCCAACATGCTGGTCATAGAGTTTGCTCTTGAAGGTCATGTCTGTTGCCTTGGGGACAATGCACTCCTCTTCAAGGATGGAGAAGATGCCCATTGGCTGCCATGATGAAACATGAAGCAAATTATTTCAAGGCTTCAGACTGATTTCGGTTTTTATCAACACACAGTACAGAGTTCATGTGGTAAAAAAAACACAAAGTGTCTTCACCTTCTCAATAAGCTCAATGCAGGCAGCCAAGTCCATACCAAAGTCAATGAACTCCCATTCAATGCCCTCTTTCTTGTACTCTTCTTGCTCCAGGACAAACATGTGATGGTTGAAAAACTGTTGCAGTTTTTCATTGGTGAAGTTGATGCACAGCTGTTCCAGGCTGTTGAACTGCAAAGGGAAAAAAATCCTTATTATATCAAAATGTTTCAATAACAAAGGTATAAAACGGTGCTATTTCCAGCTCACTTACATCAAAGATTTCGAATCCAGCGATGTCGAGCACACCGATGAAGAACTGTCTCGGCTGCTTTGTGTCCAACATCTCGTTGATTCTGACGACCATCCACAAGAACATTTTCTCATACACGGACTTGCAGAGTGCCGAGACGGCGTTGTTGACCTGATTTTACAGATCGACAACAAAGACAAAGGATGAGAGAATGTCACACAAATAAACTGTTAAAGTGGTAAAAACAGGATGGATTAGGATATTTCACCTGCGGGACAGTCTGACCCTTAGTCACAAACTCGTTTCCAACTTTGACTCTTGGGTAGCACAGTGCCTTAAGCAAGTCAGATGAGTTCAGGCCCATAAGGTAGGCGATTTTATCTGCGACTGAGAGTAGAGAGAAAGACAGTAGGACAATTAGCAATAGTGGTTTTAGTTTGTTTCATACTTAAAGTTTTTTTTTTTAAGGTCCAACATACCTTCAGTGCCATCTGGCTCAGCCTGCTCTTCTCGCTGCTTCTGCTTGAACTTCATGTTTCCGTGTTGCATCGCAGCTCCGGTCAGTTTATACATGCTAATTTTCTCCTCTGCGGTGAAGCCCAGGATGTCAATGGCAGTCTAGGTATATTAAAATAAATAAGTCATTCACACAAAGCTCTTTCATTTAATACAGTCCTAAATGGGTTTTTTTTATAGTAACCTATATTTAATCATTTTCTTACATCAGTAGCGATGAATTCTTCAACGTCATTGATACTCTTGACAGTGATTTCACCCTGACTGATCATGGGATAGTCGTATGGGTTTGTGGTGATCAGGAGAGCCTCTAAAGAAAACAAAAAAATACATGCCAATATAATACGCTATACAATACAGAGAAACAACACATATATGTTATATATTGTTGTTTACAAGCTATGGAAAAACTGAGATATTTTAATTATTATTCTCTAACCAATGAGCTCAGGTTTGTGGCCTGTTGTGAGCTGATAGAAGATATGGTAGCTCCTCTCAGCAGAGAGCTGGAACGTCACTCTAGACTTCTCCAGCAGATCTGTAAAACAAATCAGGATGAGGATAAGAAAGTCCATAGGCTAACAGGACAGAGACGAAGGATGTGCTTGATCATTTGTAGCCTCACATGTTTCAATGTCTGCTGAGGCCAATTTCCCAGTTGTGCCAAAATGGATTCTGATGAATTTACCCTTTTAAAAAGAAAAGACTGGATTAGTATGATTTATTTATTTATTTATTTAGAAAGGCTTAATTAATAGACACTTACAAAACGGGATGAGTTGTCATTCCTCACTGTTTTGGCATTACCATAAGCCTCCAGCAGTGGATTAGCTGCAATGATTTGATCCTCAAGGGACCCCTGAAAGTTTAAAATGACACGTTTGTATTTTGTGTATTTCTTTATTTTCATATACATAATTTAAAACACATTGCATGACTTACCTGCATTTTTCCAGGGACTTGCTCGGTTTTCTTTCCTCCAGCCACTGCGATTGTCGCAAAGTACTGGATGACACGCTTAGTGTTGACAGTCTTTCCTGCACCAGATTCTCCACTGTAGTCACAAAAACACCTCATTAGCAAGAAAACCCCCTTGCACTGGGTAATTGTGTGCACACACACGCAAAAACATTTGCTGAATTCTTTTAAAAAAGAAACTTACGTGATAAGGATGGACTGATTCTCACGGTCTGTGGAGAAACAGTAACAAAGATATTGGCCATCATTTATATAAAAAGTAATGCAGTGACCCGCTATCAGAGCTTAATGTGTATATGTAAGTTATTTTATCGTTACTACTGCTAAGTAGTAACGATAAGGGTTAAGTTCAAAGGGTTAAGTTCAAAACTTAGGGTTACTAAGGGTTAAGTTCAAAACTTAAATTGTTCCTGTCTTGTTATATGAGCCTGGTATCACATGCAATGTGCTGCGACACATGCTTCATACCTTGGAGCATGAACTGATAGGCGTTATCAGAGATGGAGAAGATGTGGGGTGGAGCCTCAACTCTCTTCTTGCCCCTGTATCCTGCCACAACCATTGAATCATACACTGGGAGCCACTTGTAGGGGTTCACAGTGACGCAGAAAAGCCCCGAGTAGGTCTATGGAGTCAGAGAGGATCATTTATGATGCAGATCTTCCATTTGTCATGAGCACGAGTATCAGCTATGGAGTTCTGATCAAGAGAAACTCACGTAGATCATCCATGCTGCATAGCGCTCTTTGAGGTTATACAGCACAGTAGGCTCACTGAGGTGGGTCATCATGGCCATGTCCTCAATCTTATCGAACTTTGGAGGGTTCATGGGGAAGACTTCATCTTCTTTCACAGTGATAGTCTAACGCACAGACAGAAAAAAACATTAGTGGCACAGATATCAGTGGGCAAGTGGGCCAAACTTATTAAACAAGCAAAGACAATCAGTTTATCTATTCCCTTGGAGGTCAGAAAAACAACATGTGCACATAATTCATTTCCTGCTATTCTGTTTTATTTTAGCTGAAAATGAAGCTGTGCTGCTTAGTTATTTTTTTCTAATATGCATACAATCCTGAGGCCTTCATTCCTGAGACCACACTAGATATTTGAACTCACCCACTCAGTCAAGTAGTCTGGCTCATGCAGCTCGGCTCTATAACATTTACACTACAATAACAATAAAAAAGGTTTTGCAGAGTCAAGGCACTCTCACCTTCCCGCACAGAGTCTCCACGGTGGCTTTGCCGCCCTCTCTCTTAATAAGTTTTCCCTTGAGGTACATTTCATTGGGCTCAGTCACAAAGTATGCTGTTTTAGCATCAAATGGAGTGTTCTGGGCTTCAATGCGCTCTCTTTCTGGCTTGCGGAGGTAAATGGCCGCCGGGCCAAAACACTCCATCTCTGCGTCTCCCATGATGACTCTTTACTGCAAGTAAGTAAAACAAGACAACAGTCATTATTTCTTCTCGCTCCTGATGGCAACACAGTACTGCACGAGGATAAAGAATCCTGAAGCTGTTGTGGATGTCAAATGAAGTGACAGCTGGACTGTGTTTAAAATACTTTGTAACAAACACTCCAATCTGTGTGTAACCCACGACTGCCTATATCTGCTCCAAAATATTAAAATATTAAGAGGTAAAAGGCACTAGGCACTGAACAAAACGAACAATTTCTCATCTTTATTCAACGATTCAAACATGTTAATAAAGTGAGAAGCCTCAACATGAACTCTGTTAATTGATTTGTAAACCATCTCACAAAATGCTAAATGAACAGCTGGATATTCAAGCATCAAAGTCTCATTTACAGCATATAAACAATGCTATTAATTAAAAGTGTCTTTTGATAAACATGGTAAGCAATTACCTTTTCCCCTCCCTTCAGAAAAAAAACAGCTGTTGATGGTCCTGTGAGGGTTCTGATGAAGAAAAAGAAAAGATAAATTGTTCAAATGAATAAGTGTAATTAAACTAATAAAATAAATAAAAAGGCACTCGGTCTGCAGAAAAGTCCTGGCATTAGCACAGCGGTCCTGTCTCTGGCAGTAAATGATCATGCCCTGCATTGTTCATTAAGCTGCTGGCTCTCCTCCTGCTAATAAAAGACTCACTCACCTTGACTGGAGGCTTGGCAGTCCTTGTGGGTGTCCAGTCTTCCTTCTTATATAGGGAGATCTGTGTTCACTCAGCAGAAATGGCCTCCTTTATTTGGTCAGGTTGTTTTGTGCTATTTCCTCGAGTATTTTTGCCTCCGCTCTGTCCCCTGCCGTCACTGATCAACAGGCTCTTTCACTTTTTAGTTGTCACATATTCTGAATGACTTGTTTCAAGAGGGATGTTTCAGGCAATGATAACAATTTTAATCGGGAAATAATATCAAGAGTGAATGACACATTATAGTAAATATAATTGTATTTATATATGTAAATATAATTATGTAATTATAAATTTAGTAAAAGTCTAAATAAAAGTAAATAAATTAACCTCACTGGTGTCATTAGATAAGCGTGGCTTTGCTTTCTATTGTCATTAATTAAAATACTACTCGGTATAATTTATATATTTAAAATAGGAATCAATAGATCCTAAGGCACTGACGTATGTGACAGAGAGCACAATTGTCCTGTTGTAAAGTATTTCACTGCTGCAGTAAAGATGCCACACAAGGCACCGCTGTCAAACAGGAAGCCTTAAAAAGTGTATAAATAGATGAAGACACTGGCAATGCAACATTTTTGAACTTTGTCTAAATATTGTTCTGGTGATCGGTTACTGAAGTTCAGACATTGTGTTGGTCTTTACAATAATCTCTTTAATGCACCCTGGCACTGCAGAGGATCTGAGTTTAGCCGTGGAGAAGCTCTCATGTGTCCCTGGGATTCTGTTGCAGAAGCCTTGCAAGTCTTTCCTGTGACAAAGGAGCACAATTGGGCCTCACAGCTGCTAATCTAAGAACTTGTGAAAATGATGATACCTCACGATAGCAGAAACATGCACTGGGGTCTGGGGTTTTATGAAATCCCACACTTAATTAAATTTGCTCAGTAGCGAGAATGGACAAAAGAAAGCAGAACAATGTTCATATTTATAGCACTTTAATTTCCTCTGTCCCAGAAATGCTGAATGTATCCAGTAAACACATGTCGAGCAAATGTTGCTTTGAAGTTTGACCAATACAAATGCCAATCACGGAATACGTCATGCGCTATAATCAGAATTTACCTTCAAAACAAACCTCTGCGAGCAGTTTCATGCCTTGAAAAGTTCACTAATACTCTCTGCATGATAATGCTGCTGGCCAGAGTATCTCATTATCCCATTATAACAAGCCAAGGGTGAATATCTTGGTGAAGGAACTCAGTTAATGTGATAAAATTACACTTTAATGCCCCACATATAGTGTTCATAAGCAGTATTTAATATTGAACAAATGGGTTATGACAGATACTGTGTACTTAGACACATATATATGATTTTAATTAACTATATATACATTTATCAAGAAATTCAGCTCCTGTTTCATGCTTGTGGACAGATAATAAATGAGAAAAGAACGTTTAGATATGCTGACAAATAAAAAGGTAATTATATCTGCTCACAACTTTACTATTGTGTGCTATGAAAGCTTTATCATCATGTTTTTCATTATATTCTCTTATTTTGAAGAGTGGAGGACAATTTCATTCATTTGGGAAAAGATTATAATTTTACTTTATCAACTATTGATCGTTTCAATGAAGACAAAGACATGACGGCTGTATTTTTAGACTAATGAGATTAACGAGACTAATGGCACATGATCCCAAAGAATTTCAGCAATGTCTTTGGACTGAAATTTTAGGCGCTCCAGATTTGCTGGGTTGGCAATACTGTTGCAAGGCACAGGTCACAGGTGATTGGGGGGTGTGTCCTACTATTTCTGTACACTTAGCTCACTTCACTTTTATTTATTCTCCCTTCTTTCTATTTCTATGGCTTTTTTTTTACATTTCTATGAGTGGTTTTTTTGTGTGAGTGTATGAAACTGTTCTTTGGAAATAAATGTGATGTCAAACCACTAAAATGACAGCAGCCTGTGTTATTTGTTGTAAGTAGTAAGTGAGTAAAGTTTGATTTTCTAACACTTTTCTAGACTTAGAACAGCCACAAAGTGCTTTAAAAAAACATCACATGTTAAAGACATAGTGGTCACACATGAATCGAGTAAAATAACACAAAAACACAAACACTGCGCCTCTCTGAAAGCTTTCAAGCCACATTTACAAGGATACCACAGAGTGACGGGTATGAAGAGAGATCGCTAAGCTGTTCTATAATTGTACAGCTAAGGTTTGAAAGTGCAATCACCCGTAGCTTTCAGCATACAGAATCACAAGAGGGCCTGGAGAATAGGGGCGGAGCGGTTCAATAATGTAGCTGCGGGGCCTTAGCCTGTGAGGCCATAAAAGGAACCAGGGAAGCCAAGGAAAAGCTTTAAAAATGGGGTGATATGTGAAGACTTCGGTATAAGCGTGAGTTAGAAGCCTTAACAGCAGCTTTTTGGTTTAATTGGTTAATAAATGCTGTAGTTGGACAAGAAAACAGAGCTTTACAATAATCTAAGCAGGAGGAAATGAAAGCATAGACAGGTATCACATAGTGATGGATTAATGTCATCTTTGGGTCCAATTTAAAAATCTCAACACATTCACTTTATTTTCCGTTCCACATAAAAAACAACAATAACAGTACAATTCAAAATTAACGCTACTTTCAGCTGCTCCCTTGTCACCACAGCAGGTAACGTGTTTGATTGTTACACCAAATGTCCTTTTTAGACTCAATCCCAAAGGACATGCGTGTGACCAGCTGGAACTAAACCAGTAACCTTTTGCTTGCTAAGCAATGGGTAAATGTGTGGCACCACACTAGTAAGAGTAAAATTCAGTCATTAATAATTAAAACAGCAAGCATTAATTAAAGGTCAAAAACAGTTGCTGTGACATTTATACTCTCTGGACATCAGACCAGAAAGCTGTGTGTTACCTGATGAGACTTTTAAAACCCTCTCAGGCTCAAATTAAACTTTTTGTTGCTAATGCACAACCAAGTCCTGCAGTGAAAAACTCATAAAATATGTATGTGGGGTAATCGGGTTGTTAGTTTTTAACTGTTGCAAATCGGCAACGCCTGCCTTGAGAGGGTTAAGGAGGGGAAACAGTGTCAGGTTTCTACTAATTCCCTACTGACAGACCTTTAACACACTCTGAGGCTTAACTTCAACATTTCTAACCAATACGTAAGGGTCACAGCACACTCATGAAGCTACCCAGTGTCCAATATTTTGTTTTGCAGAGGCTCAGATGTAATATTTTGTGTAGCTATGATTACTCTAGGTATGATAATCTGATGAGAGATGTGTCAGTGGGCTTGAGCTTTCTAGAGACTGACATGAAATCTCATGTTATGAGTGGAGCAACATCAAAAAGATGGAAGATATGTCAGCTGCCTGCTTTTGTTGGGGTGCTTGTTAACTCACGGGCCATAAGGCTAATGCAGTGGCCTGGTACTGAATCTACGCTGAGGTCTTCCTCATCAATAAAGGCAAAGAAGCCCCACACTCTGCCCTGACTGCTTCTTTTGTATGCTTTAATTTTAAAAACAGGGAAAAACACAGTAGAACCAGACATGAATTCAAGATACCAAGGGGACCAACTGGTATATATGTACAGGTTTACACGGGATCGTTTGCGGTGTGTTTGAGGGCACTGAGGACACACACACACGCACACACACACACACACACACACACACACTTGGCCCATCATTTGTATTTTACACTCTCATTTTAGCGCCCCATTTGTGTAGCATCTTCACTTTCACTGACTGTTTTTCTCCATATCAGATTGCATTGCTGGATTTTTGACACTGTACTGAGTCAACGGGGGTTCAGATGCAACCCTCTCATCTCGCTTTATCCTGCAGCTGAAAGTCAACCATTCAAAGGCATACAGCTTTGTCTTAAGGCCGAGCCACTGCTGTTGACAAGTTAACTGTCTGTGTCTGAAGGAACGTCTTTGACAGCAGTACATCACCGTTTCTAGTTCCTCTCGTGCCATCGCTACGCGCCTTTGAAGACCTTGACATTGTACTTCCTAACGTGTCACGGTGCATTTGTCTTCAGGACAATAAACTTTCCATCGTCTGATCCACGGGTAACAGGTGATTAGATTTGTATCTCTAGGTTTCTCAGGGCAAGCACTTGCGTTGTCTCGAGGGCATGGATTTATTTTTAAACCTTTTCTTAAAATGGTCTTGTTGTGCTGTGTGCCCTGACAGATGAACTGAAGACAAGGAGCGGCTTGTAGCTTGACCTTCTCTTAAGTCCAGTATTTGTTCCCCATATGCGACAAGGAGAGGATCGTGTTATACGACGTGTAGTAGTTTGCATTCTTTCCTTGTTGAAAGATGACACTGAAGAAGCAAAGAAGGGAAGAGGGCATTAGGAGCCAAATATTGAGGACTTGACACTCGACAAAATAGGCCTAAATATTCAATAGAAATGTGATACTCGACCTCTTGTGCTCCTGGGTGTGCTTATTTGGAAGAAACACAAATATAGCTGTCTCCTCAGCAATGCTCTCAGAGCTCAGCCATTTGTTACAGCTTCAAGTCTTATTGTGGAACGACCTTTGATATGAAACAACTGCCTCCTTGGTGGCCTGAGCCTCCCGAAGGACGAAAGAGCGCTTACTGAAATGGTATTAAAATGTGAGTCCAGATTTAAATAGAAAATGCAAAGAAAAGTAATTTTTTCTATAGTTGCTTTTGAAGGTTTTCAGCAGCAGAAATGAAAATGTATTAGCTTCTAGCAGAAGAAGCTAAGAGATATGAGGTGATATCAGATAAATAAACACATTTAAAGGAAGACTAATTGGACTATTAATTAAAAAAAGACAATATAATCAATTAGTTTTGCTCAACTTATCATTTCTAGTTTCTCAACTAGTTTTAGTCTGATTATCTTATTTTATTCAGCTTTATGACTCCAGGCTGATTTCAGTTCAATCTAAGCCTATCTAATATTAATCTCAGGTCGTTTCCCATTACCAGTGGAGTCACTATTCAATGTTCATAAAACCACTTCCCAAAAGGCTCCTTTCCCAAAGGAGGATGTCTGAGATTCACGTCAAAACAAAGATATTTAAAATCAGACACCTGCAGTAACATTGACATTAAATATGTAATTGATCTTGTTTTTCTTCACTGTGCTTTAATAAAATATTACAATATTACTTTAGCTTTCCTGTACTTTACTAGCTTTCCAGAATACTTCAGGTTTCTATTGGGTTTTCCATGATTTTCTTTTTATTAAAATAAAAAGCAATAATTTGAGATGTAGTGACGGTAAATGCCAAGACACTGCTCGGGTTTAAGCATGAGGAGGAGTGTTGCTGTAGGTTGTGGGTCACTAATGGGTCTATTTTCATTACACGACGCTGTGGCATGGTGCAACATATGTGCTGGAGCACATAGAAAAACTGTAAGGTCACTACACTGTCAGTAACATTATCACCACAGGGAACAGATTTACAGTTATCATAACCTAAAGAACGTCTATGTGATAACAGGCGACAGTTGACAACCAGGTTATTGCGAGTGATGAAGCTGTGCAGCCCACATTTAGACCACCACACACATAAAAGAGCATTTCAGTTCACTGTTATTAGGTTCTATATAATAATAATAATAATGGATTGCATTTTATATAGCGCTTTTCGGGGCCCTCAAAGCGCTGTACAATTCCACTATTCATTCACTCTCACATTCACACACTGGTGGAGGCAAGCTACAGTTTATATGTATTGTTTAACTTGTGCAGAGGTGCACCAAGTGTAAGTACACCTTTAAATCCTGACACATTTTCAGAAATGTGTCCGGAGCTCTCGAGCAATCCTACAAATATTTAAAAAAAAATATCTGTTTAACTTTGATGACCGTAATGTCTCTGAATAACTAGCTTCATGTCTACTTCTTTTGAGTTAAGCATTATTTAAAGCACACGACATAAAAGATATTCAACTGCTTGTGTGTTTATTTCTTGTCACGTAGTTGGTACATCAGACAAAAAAGCTCATATTGTGTGATTTCATCCAGACTGCGGTTCATTCATGTCTCCTTGACCTTCAACACAAAAGAGAGAGCAACAAACTAATGTCAAATGGTTCTGTTAAGAGATGCACCACCTTTGCAGAGTACCTTCATCATGACAATAAAACAGAATTAACAAAATTATTTTACGCTGACAATTTCACAGCTCTTTGCTTTCAGCTTGTTGACCTGCGACTCTGCGATGTCAGCGCGCTCCTGAGCTTCCTCAAGCTCATGCTGAACCTTCCTGTTCCTGGCCAGGTGAGTGTTGGCTTGCTCCTCCTGAAAAGTAGAAGTTAAGGTAATGATGTCACTCATCAGTAAAAAATAACTTTCATTAAATCTCTTGATGCACGCTCAGTAATCCAGGTAAGGAAGTTAAATCTGTTTATCTGGACGTTTCTGGAGTTTTTAGTGGGAGAAACGTTCCAGATGAACAGAGTCAACTTTCTGTGAACCATTATAAAATAATTCTGCTTCCTACTGTAAGTCCACTGCTGTCAACAAGGTCAGAAGTAAAGGTGTTACTTTGTCATGACTATCTGCTTTGCATGTGTTGAATATTTCACACTCACAGCTTTCTCAGACAGACAGCTGCAGCTTGTCCACAAGATCTTGAAGTCGGGTAATACTCTTCTTGTCCTACTCAGCCTAGAGACAACAGAGTCTGTCTGAAACTACCACTACAGAGACCTACTTCTTCTCTATCTGATTCATGAACGTCTTCAAAACAACTTCAGAGCACACAACACGCTCATCTTCCACAGTGAATCCACTTCAGACGCACACGAGGGACAACAACAAACAAATATGCACCAAACATCAACCCATCTGCATATGCAGCTGCACATGCAGCTGCACATGCAGGGGTTCCTGATCTCCTCAGTTTTTCAAAGTGAAAATCTGTTGAACAGCTCTAGCAATTTCACACAATTAGCATAGATATAAACACATAACTGTGTGTATTTATAGTTGCAACCAGAGAGTTTAGTTTCAGCGGTGGTGTACTCTTTATCACATCAGTTTGTCAACTACTGTTGGAGCCACAGACTCTTCATATAATGGAGATTATTGCCCTCTAGGGGTGTAATGCATATTCTACACCCAGCTTGTTCTTGGCAGCACAAATTATAAAACGATACGTGATGATCACTCATCACTTCCTTAGTTAATTAAAAATTTTGGGATTTTATGCCAGAAAAAGCGTTTCTGTTTTGTTGCATCCTACCTGATAAGTCAGCTCCTTCACTTTAGGTTCATTCTTGCGGACACCCTTTACAGACACAGATCCACGTTTCTGCTCCACCTAAACCTCCACCTCCAGCCCCCGAACCTTTCCAGCCACAAGCCCAGATGTTTTTTATGGTAAAAAAAAGTGATATTTTATAACATTTTATGAACTTTTTTCCTACACAAAACAGTTCAGTGAAATAAACAGAGCCCACCTTTAGTTTTAAATGTGTTTGGGGTACCACTTCTACAACTTTTATCAAAGTAGTTTCTTAAATGATCTCACTTTACTGAGGAACTACAGTAAAGTAAAAAAAAAAAAGACAACAAACACATTTTTTCTGCAGCGAACAAACCCTCACCTCTAGTCTCTGGAGCTGCTTCTTGCCGCCTTTCATGGAAGATCCATGACGGTTTCGTGGGCCAGGTTCAGATTTCCCTCGAGGTTTCTTTTAGCTCACTCAAGATCCATACGGAGCTTCCTTTCTTGCTCCAGTGTACCTTCAATCTTGTGCATTCACGCACACAGTAATTAGTGCCAGCTTCAATATATAAAAACTTGCTGCACTTGTGATAATTCAGACAAATATAGAAACTCACATCGTCCACTTGCTGCTCCAGCTTGGTCTTGGCCTTCGTTGGGCTGTTAACTTTGTCTTCCTCTGCCTGCAGGTCATCGAGGGTCAACTGATGGGCCTCTTGGAGGGCTTTGTTTTTTTTGGTCAACTTGGCAATGGACTCATCTTGAGCAGCCAGTTCCTCTGTGAGAGTGAATAAAATCATTATAGCATGCAGCTTCCACTAAACAACTGAAATGAGGCACAAACCTTGTTCTCAGTGGCATGTTTCTCCTTTTCCACTTTGGCCAGGGTCAGCTCTAAGTCATCAATATCCTTCTTCAGCTCAGAGCACTCGTCCTCCAACTTCCTCTTCTTGTCAGTCAGCTCAGCGTTCATTTCCTCCTCATCCTCCAGTCCTCGGCTGTCTCTTTAAGTTTGACCCTGAGTTGGATTTTTGCTTTAATGAGCCCCTCACACCTTTCCTCTGCATCAGCGAGGGCTTCACCCTTCTGTAAATGCAAAAAGGAAATGATACAGTCAGCTGTAAAAAATCAAGTTACAGAAAAATGGAGGCTCCAGTTCTCTTTAACATACTCTCTGAATTTGGATCTGCAAGTCATTCTTCTCCTGTACGAGAGAAACAATCTTTTCCTCCAGTTTTTTCCTCTTAGCCAGAGCCTTTGCTGGGTTCTCCTTGGTCTTTTCAAAGTCCTCTTTCATTTGTGCCATCTCTTTCTCTGCCTCTGCACTCCCGAGAAGTGGCCTTCTTCTAAAGTACAGCTTCATCCACGGCCAGGTTTTGACATTCATGAATGCACGGATGTTGTACTGGATGGTGTAAATGGATTCTCTGTGGAGACAAAGTACAGGACATTTTTCTTTCATTGCTCAAACTGAATAGGAAAAAGTTACTGCTGTCTCCCAGATTTTAAATAAAGAAAACTGCACTGCAATCTTTTCTTAACTCAAAAAATTACATTTTGCGAGAACATTAAGTTCAGCATCTTCCTGTTCAATAACATGTCCCTAGAGGCCTCCGGCACTCTGACACACAGCTTTGTTGTCTATTAAAGACCTTAAACTACGTGACTAAGAGTAAGAATGATTCAGAATAATGCAGAAGCTCTGACAAATCCTGCATTTACCATGTGGTAGCCTAACAAGATGCTTTTATCTACCATAAAACTGAAGGAGTTACAGTCAGCTGTTGTACATTACCCATGACATCGCCAACATTTTTCATTACATTTTTGGGTTCAGTCAATGTAAAGTCAAACTGAGTTTAGGAGGTGGAGAGTCCTGAGACAAAAAAGTAAAAGTGACAGGCTGGAACTAATGTTTATGAGCGGCACCATTGTTTGTTGTTGGTCTGCATATGGAAGACTGTTAATGCTTGCATATGGTTAAATGCAAGAAAAAATGGTCATAAATACTATTGTTTGCTGTTTAAGTTCTAATGCAGATTAGCCATTTGATTTAGCACTTTTAAAAAAGCAATATCTTTTAATCTTGTGTTCAGTCGTTAGAGTGAATTACATAATTTGAGCATTTAAAAATACTCAAGTAAATATTGTGCTACAAAGCTTATGCACTGCTACTGTTAAAAAAGGTTTGGATTGGTTAATGTTCGCAGATGTGTGATAACAAACGTAATTTGTATTTAAAGGTTTTTCACCTGTGGCTGACTATGGCCGAAAAGAAGATTAAAGAAAAAAGGGAAACAAAAGATCTGCCTGGTCATTGAGTGAAATCCAGTTAAACACCTGTGGTAGATGCATCAATCCCTTTCAAGTGGGGAAGCTGCACAAACATAAAGAGCTTGACAGTCAAGGTTAAGCAAAAACTTATTTAAAATGTTTCCATTATTATATCAAATATGATCTATTTTGATACTTTGACAAGAAAAAAAGTTGGATTTTGTGATTGTTCCAGCATTCAGAGCCTGCTGGACTGAACTATGTAACTAGGAAATAGCGACTTTTTATGGCAATCACACCAAAATACTTAGCTTTCACAGACTAATGAAAAAGAAAATTTTCCCTGAATTATTCAGAGCAGAAGTACTTTCTGTACATTAATCAAAGTCTCCACCTGCAGTGATATTAAACCAGGGACCTACCTGGTGTTTTAGTTTCATTGGGAATTAAGCAGCACACAAAATGTGGGTGCATGCTCCTTAAAGTTCTTCATTTGAGTATTTAAGAAAATGAATATTACCCTGAAAAGAGCCGACACTGTCTGGAAGGAACTGCCCTTCTTCTTGCCACCACCCACATAGCAAAATTGGTATGGCCCAGATCTGGCCAACACAACGTGCTTACACATGGCCCACATACCGCAAAGAATGACGGCCCTTTGGTGGCCCAGATCTGGTTTGCCAGAGCACAAGGCCAGTTGCAGACACACTGGTGGTCCTGTGCTGGCCCAGAACAGTTTCAGCTCTGGCCCCAGATGTCAGCCTAATGTGTACCTTAATCAAGCCATGTAATAACAACATGTGCTGGAACATAATAGTGCAAAAGTAACATGACAAAACTCTGTTCAGACAGTGATTCTTAAATAGCACTTTTCTACTCTCCCGGATTACCTAAAGTGCTCTATACGACATGCCACATTCACACATCTTCTCTGAACTGAGTACTTCCTAACTACATTCATACACATTCACACTCTTGACATGCTGACTGGAGGGATCAAACCACTACCATAGCTGTATAGTATTGCAACATGGCAGTTGGGTCTTCTACCTAAAATGGGAAAATAGGAACATAAATAGTGTCATCATTGCCAGACCTGGCCCACATCTGGTTGACATACACCCTGCCAAGACACCAGTCAGTCAGAAGTGCCAGCTTGATGCTGGATTCAGGCCAGACCTGTTGTCTATGAGCCTGGGCCACATAAGCCAAACCACAATCGGGCCAGATGTGGCATGCCATCACATAAACAGTGTCATCTATGCCAGGCCTGGCCCATATCTGGATGACATACCACGTACCATGCCAGAAGTCACCCAGCAGTGCCGGCTTGACACCAGATCCAGGCCAGACCTGTCTGCTATGTGGGCAGCCTTTTTTCCCACCTTTTGCATCTGTAAAGTGCATTTTGCAAACTGATATGTAAATAATGTGAAACAATAAATGCAATAGTCTTTCCGCATACCTTAAATTTTGTAGATGCATGAGTTTATATAAAAACTTGGCACTTTTGCCAACATGCTGGTCATAGAGTTTGCTCTTGAAGGTCATGTCTGTTGCCTTGGAGAACATGCACTCTCCTCTTCAAGGATGGAGAAGATACCCATCGGCTGCCGTGATGAAAGAAGCAGTAAAAAAACAAAACAATTGAAAGTTGTTTTCTACTGTTTTCTATGCAAATGGACAGCACACGGCTCACCTTCTTAATATGCTCAATGCAGGCAGCCAAGTCCATACCAAAGTCAGTGAACTCCCATTCAATGCCCTCTTTCTTGTACTCTTCTTGCTCCAGGACAAACATGTGATGGTTGAAAAACTGTTGCAGTTTTTCATTAGTGAAGTTGATCCACAGCTGTTCCAGGCTGTTTAACTGAAAAGGGGAAAAAGTGTCAAAGTTTGTGTGTTGCTGTTCTGTACAGTATGAAGAAATGACGTTTGTACTTTACTTACTTTACTATATTTAGCAACATGAACGTAAGACTATGCAGTGTTAGTTCTGCATACTTCCATCAAAGATTTCAAACCCAGTGATGTCCAGGACAGAATCTTGGCTGCTTTGTATCCAGGATGTCATTGAGTCTCACAACCATCCACAAGAACATTTTCTCATAGACAGCCTTGGACAGAGCCATCACTCTCTTATGAACCTAAGAAATAAGAGTTTGGGTTCTGATTATACCACAGAAGAGGATTTTTTTTTAAAATATATAAATGACTGTTTGCTCATAGACTACTTTTTAATTCCCTGTGGCACAGTTTGACCTTTGACCACCATTTCATTGCCAATCTGTACTCTTGGTTAACAGAAATTCAGCAGTAAGAAATGAGAAGCTTACATCTTTCAATTCCTGATTTTACAGCCAGAAACACACAAAGACAACAGGGTTTCCTTCTCAGTTTAGCTATTAACCTTAATATTTTATAGCAATGAAGTGGAAAAAAAGACTATCAGCCCACAGTGAATACAGAGAGTTATCATTCCTAACTGTTTTAGTATTACCATAAGCCTCCAGAAGTAGGTTGGCTGCAATGATTTCATCCTCCAGCGACCCCCTAAAATGATGTTATCCCACACGTTTGTGTTTTTCATTTTAAATTGGCAAGTGTATCACACATTTCTGCATCATATCACATCACTTAACTTGCATTTTCACATTTTGAGTTTCTATTTACATTTCGTTTACATTTCACTGCAGACACTGCGACTGTTGCAAAGTGTTGGATGACACGTTAGTGTTGACAGTCTTTTCTGCACCAGATTCTCTGCTGGAAAATGAAACACACATGCAATGGTGTAAATCTGACATAATTCAATTCAATTCAATTCAATTTTATTTATATAGCGCCAAATCACAACAAATGTCGCCTCAAGGCGCTTCATAGATACAGAGAAAAGCCCAACAAT